TACATTATTGCCAAAATAGGTATTACCCTACTCATTAGGTGCTTATACATATATGAGATACTATTCTTAATTTTCATAAAATCTTGATTACTTTCAAAATAATTTCAGCCAGTGAAAAACATGTCTCTTCTCTCTGGAAAAGCAGTATATTGGAGTACCATTCTTTTCCAGTGTAACACTCCAAGTATAACAAGAGGAGAAACCACCTGTTCTAGTTAACACCGTAATCTGATGACTCCAGGTAATCAGGGGAGGCACATACCACAAATAAATAACTCTAGCCAATGTGGAACAATAGGGGGATATACTTACACATGCCACACTAAATAACACTTAGTACATGAAAACACCAAGGATATGCACAGCTAAATAACCGTAACAACTATGAGAATACCAAGGAGATCTGTTCAAACATTTATAACTAAATAACCCTAACCATTGTGGGAGTACTAAGGGGATATATCTATTTTATAAATATGTAAAATGGATAAGGATAGCTTATTAATTAAAATCTTTCAAATATTTTGCGATTCAGTTATTTTTTAAGAATAAGTTTCTTATCATTGAATGAGTATATGTACTAAACACTAATGATTTGAAAGCATTTTAACACAATACTTTTTAATTTTGTTTATTATGAACTATGCATACAGAGAATTGTATACAGTGCAAAATGTGGATAACAATACGAGCCAGGCTCACCTAGGAATTTTGTCTTCAGTTTAAAAGGTGGCATAATGGCAGTAAGTATTTTGCTGATGACAGTCCTAAGTGTATCTGTAATTTGAGTCATCTTACTTTAATTTGAACTCATGAGTGGCCCTTCGTGTCTGCAGCACAATCATTACTGTGAGATTCCTCCCTTCTCTTGCCTTCTGGGGATCCCCTTAGCCTCTCCACCATCTTGAATCCCCTGTTGCCTCTAACAGATGTCCTCCTTTTTCTAGGTTTATCTCTAATTTTGGTGACTTTTAAAGAAGGATTACCCAGGAGATCCACTTTTTCAGACAGTTCATGTCTAAAAATGCTTTTGTTCTTCTCTCATAAATAATGATTAGTTTTACTGGGTATAGAATTCAGTTGAAAATTATTTTCTTAGATAAATTTTAAAGCATTCTTTTACTGCTTTCTTACTTCTAGTTCACTGTGGACAAACCTGAAGCCATTCAGATACCTGATTCTTTGTATGTGTTTTTTTTTAAATTCTCTCTTAAGTTTGTTTGATCCCCAGCATCCTGAAATATACCAATGATAGGCATGGATCTTTTTTCATCCATTGTGCCAGGTTCTTGCCGAATTTTTCAGTTTAGCTCCTGTTGGCCTTCAGTTTGATGATTTCCTTTCTCTGCTTTTCCTGTTCATTCTAACAGCTGCTCTTTTCCTAACACTGGAGCCACTGACCTGTGGAGTCCACATTTATTACCTTTGCTTTCCTAGTTTTCACTCCTGTCATCTTTATATCCCAGATATTGTACTGATTTTTCATTTCTGCCAAATTATTTTAATTCCTATGAGTTCTTCTAATCATGTCTTTCATGTCTCTGACACATTAATAGTAATGCTAGGACATCTCCTTCTTCCTGAAAAGACCTCAGCTCTTTCTTTCCCAGTTGCATTCTCCTGTGTGCTCATTTGGATTTCTTTCTTCCATATTAGAGGTTTTCTTCAGATGTCTGTTAATTCTTAGCAACCTGTTAATGATTAAGAAAGGGGAACTAAAATCTGATTTGGAAACTATGTGCACAGCAGGGTAGGGGAGACTATTTACCTAATTTGAGCTTTACCATAGATTAGTCTAGATGGGCTATTTGTTGAAGAACCATTCAGAATGTCCCTATCTTTGGATCTTTCCTTACAGTCCTGTTAGTTTCCTCTGAGAAGTATCTTTTAATTTCTTGCCTAGAGATTAAGGCCCTGACTGCCAGTGTTCTACGAATTCTGATTTAAGAGCTCTTGGGATCTCTGCATTATGCTTTCAGAATGACTAAAGCCATTTAATCACCCTGGGTTAAGTTTAACAGTCAGACTTTCAAATGGACCCAGTATCCTCCCATCACAGGGGTGAAGAAGAGGGAGGAGAATATAGGGATCCACTGTTTTCCAACTACATTCAGTAGGTCCTCCTTGTATTATTTCTCCTACGTTACTAGTTACTAACGCTCCTTGTACAGCTGGGTCCTGTGCTTGGAGAACTCTGATATAGTCTGGTTTGTTCTCAGCTTTTCACACCGACCACTTGGGATTCTATTTTTTCCAGTCTGCTGGGTTAACTATCGCTTTTGTCCATATGCTTTTCTCCTTCCAAAAATTTTGTTGAAATTTTCACCTCTCTTGTTCTCCTTATTCTTGGAGTTCTATACAGTTAAAAAAAAAAACTCTCTACTGTCATTTTTGTGGTTGAGGAGGGAGCAAAATGCGATGCATGCATTCAGTCCTTCACTCATTTTTGGAACGTGGACCTTGTCTATAAAGAAAATATTATGCAGAAATCCAGGATAGGAAGCAAGTAAAAACAAGAACCACTCTGGTTGAGATAGAGTGGAGACAGAACAGACCTTTCCCTTACAATTGTAAGAAATGTAAAAAAATGTAATACTGCCAATGTTTTATTCTTACCAAATAACTTTTATAACTCAATATGTAAAGGGGATACTTTCACAATAAAAATTTAATTTCACAAAATGGAGCCCAAGAATATTTCTGAAATAGGGAAGATTTCTAATTTAGTGCCTGTCAAATAATATGAAATTTGGAATCTAATGTAATTTATACCCTAAGGGCTTAGGTCTAACTCAAAACATTCCAATTTCTATTTTATAAAGCTCAAGAAACATGTGTTATAATGTAGATAAGAAACACTTTCTTAGTGAACCATGCTGAACTGTAAGATTTTAAGAACTTTCTTTAATGTACTGCCTTACACTGTACCTTGTTTTCACATTTATTATGAGTGTAACTTTAAAAAATTGAACAAATGTATCCCTGCCTCTTTACAAAGGAGAATAGTCTTTTTCCTACATTTCAGCTAGAGATTTCTATAATATTATACTTTCAAAACTATAACACTCTCAATTGACCTTAAGGTCCATCTGTGAAGTTTAATATCTAGTCCAATATCTTTAATACACTGAAAAATCTAAAATCAGAAATTTTGCTCACCTTGGTCAAAATTCATAAGTTAAAAGGGGAAATAAAAGATACACTATATGCATGCTCTTTCTATAATACTTTAAATTATTCTTTTAACGTTGACCTTATATGTCAGCTCCTAATCTAAGGTTTTCATATACTTTAGGATAAATGCTATAGCAATTTTCCTAAATTTAAATTTAAATGCTATAGCTCCAGCCACTATAATCGCATTTCCGCCAGGAGGCAGAACAAAAGGAAGGATAAAAAGTCTTGTAAGTAAGGATACTTACCACGAGGTGTACTGTATACTGGTCAGAAATAATAATATGCCCACACTTAGCTGTAAGGTAGATAAGGAAGTGTAGAATTTAATTTGGACAGCCATGTGCCCCCTAAAAGCCAAGGGTTCTGTTCCTAAAAAAAAATTGTATACACAGATTCAGGGGAATGAACTGCAATTTTTGCCCTCCTTGGTGTTTCTGATCTTGTGCCCCAGCCCACTAAACCCTGCCTTGTTCTGTTTACCCCCTATTTTGTTCATTTACCACCCGTGTGCCATCTACCACTCCCACTTTTCTTTTTATCAGATTCTCTCATGTATTATTGTTTTCTTTACATTTTTAGAAATACATTTCCCTAACGGAAAACTAGAATTTCCCTTATGACATTCTTTGTCTTGAAATTCAAGAAAAGAGGAAGCAGTTGGCAATTTCTTTGCTCTGCAGCATACTCTCATTTAGCTATAGACAAAGGCCTACATTATATTTGCTTTGTGTTGATTTTTTTCTTCTGTTTTCACTTAGGTACAAGAAAATATTCCATCAGTACTCCTTTTTTTTTTTAAGTTTCTTGCTTTTTTTTTTTTCATGGTGGAAGTGAATGGTGACCTAATAACTGGCTCTGAAACACTAAGGACATTCTTGCTGAAATGGGGTGAAATGGCCAAATCTCAAATATTTAGCCCTGTCCAAAAGTTTACCAAAAAATGTACTTGACTCTTTCACAGAGGCGATGAAAAGTAAAGGTGTTTTTTGAGCG